GCTCTAGAGGTTCAAGGTGAAGTTTTACACTGATGCTAGGTGGTAGACAAACATTGATGGGCAATTGCATAAAAATCTATATTTTTCATAAACCGGAAGCACTGAGAAGTTTACAACAAGCTGCACATACCTACCTGTGAAAATGTAAGCGCATATTTTTGTTCTTGGAGATTTAAGCTTCTTGGAAAAGTTCAAAATTCTTTTGCAACTTACTTAGCTCGTCAAACGAGCCCCGAAGTTTATGACTTCCGTAAAAATTACGGTTGAATAAACTAAAATTATAATCGTTATTGAGGAAATTACGTCTTAATATGTGCTTGAATACTTATTTTTTCTCTTTTCTTTTTTCCTTTCTGCAAAATGCGTTTCAATATTTTTCAATTTATTGCGTCGAAAATCTTCTCATTCCTTACCTACAGTGTTGGTTGAAAATATAGGTGATGCATGCGATACGTCGTCCATTGGTGACTAGGTTATTAATTTTATCCTGTTTTATTTTCAAACTGACCCCTGCTGTTTTTTTTATAATTTCTTATAATTTCCATATTCCTAAGGCCACCTTCTGGATATGAGATCAATTCTTTCAACCACACCGTTTATAGATATACATATTGAAACTTTACGTGTTCCGTGAAAAGCGGGGCGTTTGGGAAGCTGACGAAAATATCTGAAACCGCCTGCTTCCTAGTCGGCCCGGCTGAAATCTGAAATCCACCAGGAAAGCAGTCCCGATTAGTTCGCGGGAGTAATACCGTAGCCTGATGTGAGATTACTTCCGACTTAATAGCCACCCCCTCCTCCCGTGACTACGGAAATTAGATCCTGCAACACCTGTTACCGCTGAAACTTCAGCCCCAAGATAACCTCCTACCCCTCCTGATTCGACAGTTCGCCTCCTCATACTAATCCGTCTGGCGCTGAAGTGAAAGCGTTTCGCCGCTGAGCCGGGATCCAAGAGCGCTGAGCTGAGGAATAAGGGACCACGGCGTGAATTAAGGAACGCTGACAGTTTGGACTATCGCCTCGCTAAAGACAACTCGAGGTCGCTCAAATAAAAGGGGCTCCCTTCTCTACCTTGAGTATTGAGGAAATAGGACGCGAATATGGTAGCAACGAGAAAGTAACCGCCCATAGAAATGAAGGTTTGGAACTATGCGACTGTCACTCCCAAGCCGTTGCAAAATCTTTCCAACAGGGCTGGATCTATGGGGAGCCGGCAGTGGGGGATGTAGGGAGGCAGAATGGCACGCCCCTGGATCCCCCACTGAAGAAGGCCAGAGAAGAAAAAAAGAAGAAAGAAAAAATAGGGAAAACAGGGAAAAGAGGGAGAGAAAAAAATAACTCCTAAAAATTTACTCCCAATGATTTTAAGACAGAAGTATACTTAAATCCAAAATTTACCAAACCAAAGGAACCGCAGAAATTAATAGTCCATATACTGAATTAAAGTGACAACTCTGAAAGAGATAGTATTCGTCATTGTTCAAATAATGCAAAAATTGAATGCCACAACTGTATAAAATTAAATCTGAGGGGAACGAATTATTATTTTTTTTTTTTTTAATACGACGTTGAAGTTGTTTCTGTAGGTATAAACACTGACAGAAAAAATGGGAAAAAGAAATGGAGGTATACCTCCTACCCCAGTATTGTTTTAAGCTCATGATTTTGAACATGCCTCTTACGACATGACGCATATTTTTCTGTTTTTAAAAAAATTCAGATGTTTTGAAGAATTATAGTTAAAATAAAAAATTTCGTTGGATTTCAAAAATCATTTTTCCACTTCATCCTGTAGTAACATGGTACTTTTCCCCATTTTTACCTTCCATAATTTCTGAACTTGTTCGAGCGACTTTCAGCCACCTCGAGTTCAAACACTTGTACAGTAAGATTTCAGTGAAATGCGACGCGAAGGACGAGATTGCATGCGATTTCGGCTGAAATTCTCGGAGCAACTTGTGAAGTTGCGGGGGAGGAACTCGAACCTGCCGAGAAATAGGTTTCGCAGATTATTAAAACTCTCGCATGCGTTAAATGCAAATGAAAGGGGCTAAATCTAGCATTAATACATAACTTGGCGAAACTCTTGCCTCGGTCTCGCTAAGGATTCGCGCATCTCGATGTGAAAAGGAAAGTTCCGCCGCGGTTTTCTACATCTTCTCCGGTTTCCCGGTGTCGCGCAGACGTTTCAGCTTCCGACAAAGTTAATACGGGAATGGACCACTAGACAGGCTAAGAGTTTAACTACCTTCAGACATGAATCCCAGACAAAATTTCGTACGGTGGAATACGCTTAAAATTTTTGAGATGAACTCACTCATCAAAGGGTTATATTGTTTGTACCTACCTTAAGAGAACATAGAAAAAAGCTTTAATTCAAACATTTAATTTTTATCATTAAGGAAATCATTTTATTATCATTTTATCATTTTTATTTATCATTTTATTATTTAAGGAATATTGAAGGGTAATTTTAGAAAGCAACTTGAGAAACCTTGAGAAACTTATTTTGGACGGTAAAAAGTTATTTTAAAAACTCCGTTCTTAACAAAACATTTAATTTATAAAAAAAATTATCCAATATTTTTAAAAATATTTTACAAATGTTTGTGAAATAATTATTTTTAAAAAATTAGCTTAAATCTGTACCTAGATGTCTATGAATGACTTTAAACGTTTCAAAATGCATTTGTAACGATTGGAAAACGACTTCTGACCATTTTGAAACCTTTAACTGTCACCAAAACGTACCTCCTTTCAAACTCTCGATTAAAAATTATTCTCAGCCGCATAATTTCGGGGGAGTGACGATTTATCGAAATTTTTGGTCGCAAGTTTTGAATTAAGAGGATATTTTTAACGTCGGTAGGGAAATAGTTCATTAGTCATTAGGGAAAATTAAAATTCTTAAGCTGAAAGAAAAATTTACTGGGAATACCTGTGATCATTTCGGTGCTTTTTAATCAAAGTTTCACAACTCATAGTTTGCCAGATATGTATACTCCTCATTGTATTGGATTACTACAATACTATTCGGTTTTGAACAACACACTCTGTCAAAGTACAGAAATGTTGAAGGAGGTAGGGTTTTACTTTTAAATACTTAGGTTTCTTGAGAGATTAATGTGATACTTAGGCGTTGGTACCCGAAATAAATAACTTCATCCACTCAATTTGATCCGAAGATTGCAAGTAGACACTAAAACGTAGTACACCTAATCGTAATTTAACTGATGTGAATACCACTGTAACTATGCACCACCAGAATCGCATTTCAAACAGAGTGATCACATATCGAGGTGCTTCGTCAAAATATTTTTCTCTTGTTTGAACACAGTTCCTATCCCGAGTGTAATTTTATTATTTATTTCTCTTTATGTGTGTATCATGGGCTTATTTGTTTTTTTATTCCAATTTAACACGAATACTGGATATTAACGTCTTGCCCATCAGATTAAATAGACAACATTATATTAACTGAGCCTGTGTTGAGCGTGCGATAAAAGGTAAGTAATTATCTTCTTGTAATTCTGCATTATTGTATCTATTAAATTTGACCTAACAAGAATTGCCTAGATGCATGAAATATTTACTTACAAACTTTATATTAACTTAAAAGTCGATACAAATTTCAAATTGATAAAACGTTTTTAATAAACAAATTCATGCATCTATGCGATTCTTGGGAATTTCTGCCGCTTGAGGATAGTTTTTCATTTGAATCATTGCACGGAGCTCCCACATATTGGAATGCATTGATTGAGTTTCACGTACCTAACAAACTTTTGCAGTTCAAAGATTTTCTCAGAACAAACTTTTTGATTCACTCTCAACCGCATAAACGCTTACAACCCGTAGGAAAATGTACGACTAACATCATCCGCGGCAAACGAAACAATATTTTACTTTTTCAACGGAACAGTAACAAATTTATGAATTACTTAAAATTAAGTGACGGTTATTTCTGCGGTTTGATACGTGGTGAGGCATTCTGAAAAATACTTAGTGTTTGTATTATTTGTATTAATACCTAAAATTTTCCTGTTAATCCGTTCTTCATGTTTGGAATACTTGATTAAAATGCGAATACGACGAATTATTGTATTTTCCGTAAACTTAAGAAAAACGCCGCGTAATTATATCTGCAGAACTAATAGAGGACTACCTATCGACTTAGATAGTGGAAACTCTGTTAAATCTCAGGACCATATAAAATAATATCTTAAGAATGTAGAATAGGTTTACATACATAGCAGAACTGGAGACACAAAATGATTTTTAGGCTGAAGTCGTGCCTGATGTTACACTTGAATGGATTGCATTTTGCAAAATGGAACCAAGAGCATTCCAATTTCGCCGAGATTGCGAAACTTCTTTTACCTTGCAAATATAAAATGACCATCGAAACAAGTTATATCTTTACTCCCAAAAAACCTTAGATGTACGTCGAAAATTACTCTTTGAACCTACATTTAATTTGTTTGCATGATTTCAGTAATTTTAATGCAAAGAATGTAAGTTTCACAATCCTAGCAACATTGGAGGTCTCTTGTTCCTTTCGGCAAAATGCAATCCAAATCAAAAATAAAGTTTTAGAAAATTAATAAGTTAACCGTCCCTTTCATGGTTGTCGGACAGGTACTGAACGAAATTTACTCAAAATTGGAATTTCGTAAAAGAAAGGGTCAAAATTGTATGAATTGAATCACAGAAAAATTCCTTCAGCAGGATACATTACCTACTCGGTTGGACGGCAATTGATATTTCGATTAAATTCACGTACATACTTGGGTACTTCACTTTGGCAATAAACTCCTTTGATCACTATCACTAATTTATAAAGCGGTAAAATCCACGGAAATTTATTAAATCTAAATTAGAGTATTCATTCATAGCTTCTTCCATTACGTTCTAGCAATAATACATTTCATATTGGTATGGAAGAGTCAAAATTTCGATCAAGGCCTTAACTTTATAACTTGTATTTTGGCTATTACCTGTAGTTAATTGTAGAGATGTGAGGACGACGACCAGATTGAAGACACAGCTTGAATATTTTCTACAACTTGCGACACCCATTTCTGCAACGTTCCGTAGCACTATTTAATCAAATGAAGACTCACAAACTCAAATAATGCTAGTCATTGAACAGTGAAACACACCTTAACGCGGGTGAGAAATAAAACTGATCAGAGTTAAAAGAAAAGCAGCTTTTCAGCGGAAGTTTAAAACGGATAAATCTGTAAACACCTTGGATAAATTTTTGCACGATTGAAAAAACCTAACCTCGAACCGCGTTGCCTCAACGAGAAATTCCAACGATCGAGAATGATAATGAGAGAGGATTACACATAAAATCTCGCACAACTGAAAGAATAATATAGTATGTAGTAATCACTTTGTTGTTTTTCAACTAAAAGCACAGCGGGAGAATGATAAAACTAATAATTTAGAGTGAAGGATTTCCTCAGAATTGTGTTTCTTCTCTGAACCAAGGGCAAACAATTTATCACCGACCACTGAAGCACAGTTGAGTTTAAAGTTTCGGTGAAGACAAGGAGAAATAAATTCCAGGAAGTAAACCGGTAAAAGTCGAGAGTATTTCAAAATAGTACACTTCCTTTACGAGGAGCGAGGAAGTAAAAAACCCGGCGGTTATTTCGAAATGACGAAAGGAGCTGGTCAGACGGAACGCAGAGCGACATTACCTTACGGGACCGCAGATCGCATGCAACTGGATGTTTTGATTTTCCTTGGGCCGAAGCCGGTGCCTGCAGCGCGCGGTGCGGCCGGCGCGGCGTGCGGTTCGCTCACGCCGGCGCGATGCGCTCCGGGTAGACTATCCTTCAGGAGCCGCATGGCTACAGGTATCTCATTCGAAAACACATAATCAATCTCCACTCTGGAATGACACCTCGCGTCAAGTCGCGCCCCCCACCCTCCCAGAGTCGCTTTTGTTCCGTCCCACTTGTTTCCCACCCAGTCTCGCCCCGCGGAATTTGAGAAAATTCAATTTTTTCACTCCAGACCGACGGGTGTCCTCTCGACGACAAAAATTTCCATCGGTAAAAAAAAACAACGATTCTTGTAACTCTTCGTAGTTCTCTGAAGAACATCAACGAAAAAACTATTTTTCCTTAATCGTTTTTTTTCGTTTCAAGATTTAAATAATTACTTGCGCTGCTTAAACTTGGTGCCAGTGGCATTTTTATGCAAACTGCGTCTAGAATTACTGCTTCTCAGAAAAAAAGAAAACAAACAGTTGGAAAAGGAGTGAATTTTTCTCTGAGATCATTATAGGGGGTTCTTCCCCTCGCCGCACAGTTGATCGAGTTCATCAGAGAGGTCGGACATGAAATTTTTGACTAAAACCGCAAATTTTTATGTTTATTTCGTCAAATTTTAAATTTTAAGGGGTGCACTGAGAAAAAGCTATGGTTTATAAACCTATTAGAGGTAAATATGGAACACCACTAATAGTAGTACCTCTACATATAATAATAGCACATATACCTTAGTTATGGTCTCTGTACCTTAATTAGGTACAGAGACCTTAGTATGGTTCACAGACCGAGAATCA